GTACTCTATTAAATGGAGATGTTCTGATGACAGGAGTCAGAGCAGGTCAAAACACCCACTTGGACACGTCAGCTAGCTGCTTAATTGTGCCTCAAGACTATGGCTGCGTTCCTTCCCGCTGTCTGGAGGAGTAAAAAGTGGAAAAAAACCCCATCAAACCCCTGTGATGCCTGGATAATCTCCCCCACTCCCCGCCCCCCTTTATTATTTTAATAACCAGGAAGTACTGTAGTCACGAGGTTTTATTTGGGTAAAAGGCTGTGTCTACTGAAGCGGTGCCTCTCTATAAAGTATGCAGGTTACACTGTACTCTTCTGCGTCATCTTTCTGTTTCTGTTCCATGTCTCTTATTTCACCGCATCCACACTTTTTCTGAGTGCTCCAGGACGTTACTTTAGAAAAGAACTGAATTAGCACATAGAATAAAGGCAGCAAACTACAAAGAAGCTACTGCAGGAGGTAACTGCTGAGAGACAACTCTGAGAGCAACCACAACAAAACTCATAAAAAAAAATAAGACTAAGGGGAGCATCAAGGCTAGTTCTCCCATAGGCTACAGGCACTACCCTCCAGGGGAAGGGCAAAGGGACATAGAGGTGGGTGAATGTTCTGCACGTTGCACAGAGCAGGTTCAGAATGCAGCAGCTAATACATATGAATACAGATACCCATGTTCTGCAAGTGGTAAACTATTTCCAAAGGTGTTGGGGTGGGGGTGGGGGGTGGAGAGGCAGGGAAGATAAATTTTAGTTGAGTTTTGCAAATCTAGAAACTACCCTCAAAATTATTTTTGATATTTCATTTTAAAAGGAGTTTAAACAACCCAAAAATGTAATAGTATGTTTAGTTCCAAATTGGACTAATTGTCTTATATGTATTCAGGATACTGAGCAGCTTCTCCCTTTCCTCTCACCCATAGTTGTTTGTAGCACAGAACCTTGAAATTATGACATATTATAATTTTTGTAATGTAAGATTTAATTCTTAAGGGAGTAGTAATCTAATTCCACCTCTGCTCAATACACTGGTATTGAGAAGGAAGAGGCTGGCTGCAGCTTCTTGTTGAACTAGCTGGAATATTTAAAGCTTTGTAGCCATTCTTTTGTCAAAAATCTGCTCACAAATAGCACAGCTTCTTATGAAAAAAATGCCTAAGTTTCTAGTCTTTTAAGGTTCTTCCGACTGAGGTACAACTCCTACATGCATGCAGCTTTGGAGTTGCTACTGGCTACAAAACATGGAATGAAAATAGAGTAGGAGTTTAAAAAACAATCATGTCAACTAACAGCTCAATGTATATTATGTTTTACTGGGGCCCAAATGTAAACCTCTAGTTTCCAGTGCTCAGGGGAAGCACTTCTGTTCTTTAATGATTTCTTTTAATGACTGCAAGTTCTCTCCAATAATAAATAGTTTAAAAAGGCACTTAGAAGCCCCTCTACAGCATACTAAAGAGACCTTTTAAAGAACAACAGGGAAGACAGAGACTTAAGGTAAAGCAACATGGAATTTTTAATATTCATGTGCAGACACGAATTTTCTTTTGAAGTGTCATGTGAAAGACCCATGTGGTCAATTTTGTGCAGTTGCGCTTATTAAAATACAAGACTACAAAGAGCGGAATGACACTGCTAGGAACAAAATCAGAGGCAGTATTTTATGACCAGTGGAATAAGTAATGACGTTAGAGTCTACCTTGTATCTGTTTTCGTTATATATGTTTAATTGCAATCATTACTTCAAGGTCTTGGCAACAATGAAGCTAATGAAGCATTTTTCATCAGGAACGATGAGATAAATGAGAGAAAAATGTAAAATATGCAAAGCTAGTTGTGAATAACGCAGCAGCTGTCATGGAACAAATTAAGTTCACTGATCATCACCCACATAAGCATTTATCTGTTGCGCTGTTGAGATGTCAGCAAGGTGAGGAGCCCTTCCAAAACACACAGTCTAGTTGCTGGCAAAGGTTACTATCCAACCCCATTCAGAAAAGCTGTAAGTAACCTTCTGCAATTGCTGGCTCTACCTCACTGAATTCACTGGGTTCACTGTTGCCTCTGATAGGGCAAATAAAAACAGTTGCAGTAACAAGCAAAGAGCTGGCCCTCCATTTGAAACTGTATTTTATTATAAAAACAATATTCAAAAGAAGTGAGACTACTTTTCCCTGCATTTAAAGCAAGGAGATTAAAACCCAGACTGGAAATTTGAATCCATTTTCATTCTTTAGTTTTTCTGATTCATATCCCTAATTGTGAACCCATTCACCAGCCTTCAGGTTGTATGCCAGGAACCTTGACAGAGAGGCAGAAAGATTTCTCTTTCATTTGAAACAAACCTGGAATAAATACAAATTGTTCTTATTGCGGTGCAGTTCAGAAAATACACATGAAAAACGAAGGCAGGCTCTTAATCTCTGTTCTTGAGATATTGCTGACTGTTTTCATGAGACTTCAAAACATCATTTAAACCTGAGCCTAATTTAATCCTTAGGCTTAAAAAAATGAATTCAAATCTTCCTGGCCATGTCCTTGTTCTGTCTGTAGCTGTTAGTGCCCCTGTACTGATTTTCTAGTAAAGAGATTAGAGGAAATCTGAAGAAAGGTTTGTAGCAAACCAGTGAACCAAGAGCAGCTTTCCATCATATATTGACTCCTGCTTCAACTATGCAACAAGAAAAATCAAAATATAAATAGAAGTAAATATTTCAAACAAGTTTTATTTGGTACTTACATGCTATATAGTTTTAAAGAAAAAGTACATATATCAGACATTTAAAAATATTGTGGCTATGTACACAGAGAACTAAAGAAAGTGAGAAAGAGACCCAATTAATTTTACCATGTTACAGACTACTATTGAAGCATTCTGACTGAATGGCTTTTTTTTTCTTCCCCTTCTGTATAATCTGGCCTACGAAGTACCTTCTCATTGCATTTCCATTGGTTTTATCCCATCTCCTTTATAAGATGGGCACTCTTCAGCAGCAGAAAGTAACTTCTTCAAAAATTCTTCAGCTCTTATCTCAGAAGAGTTCTTCTACTCTCACAGACTTGCTGCACCGCCTGTTACAGGCCTCACTGCGTGCTCAAAGGCAAGCACAGGAATCTTAATGCGTACTTTCTCAGCTAGCATAAACTGAAACCACATAAACCTCAGTTTCCACTAGCTAAGGATCTACTCACTGACTTCAGCAAGCAACACATCAAGCCCTGGTTGGCGTTTCAGACACAAATACCTAGTGAGATCTACCTGTAACAAGCATTGTTTATCAAAGCATAAAAGGGTGCAAGATTTTACAGTTATGCCCAACAGCAACAAAAGTGACAGGGATGGAACAATGATAGTAGAAATCAGCATCAACAAACGAAAGAGAAAGCAACCTGCATTGCTCCTCTTACCACTCGAACGGTACTGCGTTAGAAAAATCACACGCTACATAAAAAGCACAACCCAACCATTGACCATTTTCCATTTGCTCTGAAACGAGCAAAACCAAAATAATCCCCAAACAAACCTGCTTTCTCATCCAAAAATCAAATATTTCAGGTTTCACACAGTCTTCATAGTCTGGTAAGGCAAAGGAAAAGTCCTCTATCGTTGGGAACAGCAGCAATTTACAGGACTCAGAACAACAGGATATTTCCCTGTATGTACATGCACATATGTGCACAAGCGTACACCTCTTCTATAGTACTGTGAACACGAATGTAACAAAAAAATCAAGTTTGCAGTATCATTTTACCACATTTTTCTAATTTATTCAATTAAATGATTTTTGTACTGAACAAAATTCATAAATACATCATCTAGGAGAACAATAGGTTTTCTTCTTGTCCATGAAAAAATAATGCTTTCAAATTTTCACATTTTAAAACCTGCCTTGTTTTGTGTTTTTAGAGAAAATGCAAGATCATAGTGACGTCTCAATTTACAGAATGTCCCTGTAGGAATTACATTTACAAGAACCCGATACAGAAGCCTATACTTTGCCCCCATAATTAGAGTTCTCTGCAATAATATTTAAACCAATAGGTTTAAATAAAATACCCCATTAACTCTACTTGTAGAGCAATGAGGTATTTATTTTTCAAGTATTAGAGCCATAAAGTGAAAAAGATTCTTTGCCAATTTTAGAATTATGCCTTTTAAACCAACACCTATCTTTTAAAAGAAGAATCAGTCCCACCACCCCAATCATCATTGCTTTCAGACTCCAGTGTCTTGTGTCTTAAGGAATGCAGAAAATATCCATTTACTAACAGAAAAAGCTTGTTGGAAAAAGCCATTTTAAGTAATGCACGTGAAGCATGATTTTTCTAGTGATGAAAACTATTAGAAAGGCGATCCAAGTCTATTCCCATCATTTCTTCTGCTGGTTTTACTAAAGTCCTTCCAAAAAAAAGATATCCAAGAAATTTTTAAAAAACTGGAGAGGAAAAATAAAACACTCCTTCATAGCATGGAAGAAATTCCACCAACTGCAGAGATGCTTATATCACCTTTGGTTCTTCAGAAGAAACAATTAGATCACTTCTACAACAGAAGGCAGCAGAAAGGACAGGTCAGCAAACAGTAGCAATATTTATGCTATACATAAATATACAGACATTTGATTGAAAGGTATTTTTCCTTACATTTTCTATCCACAGAAAAAGAAAATAAATGCTGGTAGTCATATCCAATTTAATCCACTAAATTAATATGTGTTTACACCCCATCCTTTAAAAGTTACGATCCACTTTAGAAAAATTTACTGTGCTGCAGACCATCCCTCAGTATTAATGCCACCAAGAACTTCATGAGGGAAGTGTATTCAGAATTTTAGGTGTAAGGCAGCTAATAAGCTACCCCTCTGCACGAGCATATCACAGATTTCAACAGTTGAAGAATGAGAACATGATTGCAGATCACAAGCCAATAATAGTAACAACTGTTCTTCCTGTTCCTGTTTCTGCTTGAAAGCACAAGGCAAACATTTTCAGGCATCCTCAGGAGGCAGTGTCGTGCAACTGAACCCTCTCTCAAACAAGAGATGAGCACTTATAATTCACACAGCATCTGCATGTACTTAGCATGCATAGCTCTGCAAAGAGAATAAAGATGTGCTCCTTTCCGCAAAGAATTTGCAGTATAAAATGCTTAAATTAATCAACTTACATCAATTAGGAGCTTTAGGTCCTCTGTTAATTACACCCTTACAAATTTTAATGGGCTAAGGCAAACCTACCTGCTGTTTGATGTGTTTGAACACTATCTACCTGAGGCAACAGAGTCCCCTTATCTTCAAAGGCTAAAATTGGATTCAAAGGAATTTCAGGACTATTGCGTCCATCATTGTTCATGGCATCCAGGCGGGATGGTTTAGATCCAATAGGTAGGTTTATGATCTCTTCAAAGTTGTCATTCTGCATAGACATGCCATTTTCATTTGTATTTTTCTCTGGGTTGAGATTGCTGAAAGAGAAACATGCATATTTCTCCATACATGCAATCAAGAACTGAAATTTAGTCCTTCTCTGAGCAATCTTACAAACAGAAAAAAAAACTGCATTAACGCAGAACATTTTTTCAGCCAGTAAAAAGAAACCTATTCTAGTATCACAGTTGAGAAGCTGTTTTTATAGCTAAGTACTACATATGTCTCTCCACAAGTACCCAGAATGGTTGTTACATTTGGCCACGCTATACCCAGACCTACAGAGAGCTTCAATGACACTGCAGTTCCGAGAAGTGACTGAAATGCAAAGTAGTAAGAAACCCCCCACAGTACAACCACTGCTACCTTGAGCCACGACCTAGTGCAATTTATGGCCTCTTAACACCTTTCCTGGCTCTCACAACCTTTGCAATATTTGAATGCTAAGGTACCCTTCCTCCTACTGCAAAGCAATGTAACTGGTCTTAAATAAGATCATTATCATTTTTGCTATTCCTTGGAGGCTCCGACCACCTTCTGCCTCCACTTTTGAAGTGCCTCTTCTGCCTGTCATTCATCCGGGGGGGGAAAAAAAGACACCCTCCACCAATTCTGTTTTCTTATCAGTCTTTCCTGTAAATTCTCAGTGCTTGTTTTCAAGGCACTACTGGACTCCGCACTATTTTTCCCCTCTGCACTCCTCAGAGGGGAAAAATCATGCCCAAGTCAAAAGAAACATCTCTCGCATCCCTCACGCCAGTCTGCACCTCCTTTCTCCATCTACCACTCAGAGATCCCTTTATGGGCAAGCCCTAATGCGTCTCCCCCAACTAGACGCGTTATAAGCCCTCACACACACATGCACACTCTCCAATGACACATACTTGCCAGAGAAAACACATTTTCTTGTTTCAGCATCTTCCCCCTGGCCCCACCAACCCTTTTATTAGGTGGTATACTATCAGCTCCTGCTGGCTTTGTGTGCAGGATGCGCTGTCTCCCCACAAGGGAGGAACAACGGTGTACATTAGTGAACAAGATGATAGTAATGAGACTGGAGGCTCCTCAAGAAAGAGCAAGGATTCAGCTGTCACTCAACAACATCGTGATCTCTCGCAGGTGCTTCTCAAAGTCCACAGCAGTTCAGTTTTGGCAATCTTGGGTATCTGCTCCCTGTCTGGACCACATCACAACTGTTCAGGTGGTTTGGAAATGCTTTAGTCAAAGGCCCAGATGTAATTTTCCTAGATTTAAATAAGGCTATCAATTTCCTCAGGTCATTTCTGAGCAGGTGGCTTGGTTTTACAGGCTAATTTTCTGCTGACAGTAGATTTACTAGTCTTAAAAAACAAACAAGCAAATAACAAAAAACTGTGCTTGTAATTCACACATGGTTTACTTTCAATTACTGACTTCTTGGGGTGACTAACTCCGCACAAATCATTATGGAACTGTTTTTACAGCACTTCCCAAGAGACAGAAAAGAATTACTGCCCTTTCAAAAGTGGTAACACTTTATGCAAAGCCCATATTTCCTACGAGACTGACATGCTGGTTTTCAAATCATCTCTTCCAGTTTTTCAACCCATCCTTCCTTCCTTTTCACTAAGCCAAATCTCCTTCTTTAATCTGAGGATATGCTGAGCAGGTTTTTCAATGAAAAGCGCGATTCCCTGCACTGAGTTTGAGAAGAGATACAGACTCCTGGCTGGCTGCCTGGGAGATCAGAGGCAAATCAGCCACCTCACCTGCTTGTGCTCAAGATCCACATCTGTCAGTTGAGGAGCAGAATCTGTGACATGTTTCAGAACTAATGAAAATTGCTCTATACGGTATAATTATTAGCTTATTGTCCATTATAAGCCTCCATGTTATTTATTTCATCCCCATCTACTGCTGGAGGAGAGAGCTACAACCCCACCGCACTAGGAGGCCTGACTGGGTGGGAAGGCAGGGGACTGCTCGGGCATGTAAATTAAACAGCCGAAGTATCACAACAAATATTGACACAATGAAAAACAGCATCTCGCTTCTGGAAGCAGATATTAATTTATCTGCCTGATCAGCTAACTCTGGAGATAAACAGTTCTTCCTATTTATCTCGCAATGTGTTGCCACTATTACATAGTTACTTAGATTAGGATTCATTAACTTAAAAAGATGACTGACAGGGGAGTCTATACCCTCACAAAGGGGGTACAGAAGAGGAATCCTTGAGTAGGTATTTTCTATTTTTTATACTGTAAGAAGTATAGGGCACTCCAAATCTGCAACCTTAGGGGAAGAAAGTTTAGAAGAGCTAAAAGAAAAAACTGAATTGTGAAATTGCTTTTCACAGGACCTCTTAGAGGCCATAAGCTCAAAAGGAGATTAGACAAATTCCTAGGAGATTGGAATACCCTCCCGCTTCTGGTAATTAGCAGCTTAGGGACTACCTGAGCCTGCGCCTGCATTTGGACCACGACACTTAGTAAGCCTTCACTGACCAGGGGAAAGATCTCTTGCTACTTGCCTTTTTTTTTTTTTTTCCTTCCCCTCTTTTTTTCTTTTTTCTCCTTACACTCTCTCCCTAAGAGTCTGCTAACTAGTCGCTGAAGCAAAGAGCATAAAAAAATTAATGGTCCTTTAGTTGGACCTGCTACAGCTCATTTGTCTCATATCCCATTCTTAGTCAGGTCTCAATGGCTAGCACAACATTGCAGACACTCTTTTCAGGCATGTGATGTTGTAGATATATTTTTAAGAGGTAATTTTGGCATTCTAAACTATCACATAACTGTGCTTGCAGCAAAACACCTACATATTAAAAAAAAAAAGCTAGCTTAATTGTTTAGACTACATTTCCAAACATCACAGCAAGTGATAAAGCATCTGTACAGTTTTGCATTTTGATCTGGACATATTCATACTAAAAAGACAGACAGGTGTAAGTTCAGAGAACAGCAACTAATATGATTAAAATAACTAGAATATCCAAAAATTTAAGCTACTGAAAATTATATATGATGTGCATAATTTTACTTAAAGCTCTGCGGTAGTCACAAAAACATGTTTAAGTGACATGAAGAAAATAAATAAGAATGAAAAAAGATTAGAATTTAGTACATATGCCTTTCTGACCACACATCCAAAATCAATACCTCAGAAGAAAAAATACTAATTTGCAAACCCCTGGAATATTTTTGTACCTGCTGTTCTTGATCTGAAAGTCAACGACCGAAAAACGGGCCCTAGGTTTTTGGATGATTTAAATAAAGCACTGTTTAGGTACAATTAATTGAGACAACAGCACGGAAATCAGTCAGTAACGAGATAGTGCTGATAGTATACTCCAAATCTTTGCTGATAGCAAAGATTTTCAAGTGCAGTATCTTACAGATTGAGCTATTAACACCACATAAGCATTTGAACCAAACAACATTATTTCCCAGGAAAGTATATTGGGGGAATCATCTTGTATAACTGTGTATTTCTAAAGGCTGGTTATCTGAGCTACCCAACCCCAGCTTCCTTTATAAGGGATGGGGAAATGCAGATAAGATGCACTGCCCTCACTGCAGAAGGGGCCCAGGTTAGAACTAGAACAACTGTATTTAGACATCTGTAGGTAGGTGATTCGCACCCACAGAATCTGCTTTTTTTCTCAGCCTCACTGTTCTCTTTTCCCATCTCCAAATATTTGTCTGACTTAAAATATACCAAATCAAGCGCTGGCCTATTGCAGGCTTCTACAGAAAACAGCACAGGAAGAATGGGATGAATTACAGGAAAAGAGTGAGCATTAGAAGGAAAATATTGTCAGCATAATTCACTATACTGAAATAACCTCAGAGAAGTAGCAGACTGGATAACTTGGGCAAAGAATTAGAAAGCGGAAAATAAGCAAAAATCTGTAAGTTGGAGATGGATGAGGCAGCTGTATTAATTGTTTAGCTCCAGTTTCTATCATTGTTTCTTCTAGGATTCTACTGCTCAGTGATACACTTTAGTAAAGTAAAAAGAAAAATTAGAATCTGGAAAAAATCATATTAGAATCTTTATATGTGTATATATGTATGTATGTGTATATATATGGGTGTGTGTATATATATATATATATATATGTTTTTCCCTGCACAAGAAGTATGGAAATATACACTTTTAAACTAGTATCTTATTTCCAAAGCACTGTTTTAAATCCATGTTTTCATGTGCTGAAAAAAGAAAAACAATTTAGCTAGAAGTTAACATGCCATTAATGATATTTCAGTATCCCCGTGAACTACCAGTCTTCTCAGTAATTCTAGATGTTTTACAGTCTAACTGTAAAATATCCATGGCATGCTCCTTTTTAAAATACATTTAGTGTTGCCCTTTCCATCATATTGCACCTGAATGAGTAAAGTCTTTGTTTATCTAAGTTCCGCTGTATTCCCACCCCAGATATGTAGGTCAAATGTGAGGTCAGATTTTTTTTTTTTTGCTGATCATTACTGTATTATTTTCATTAGCGCTCTAGCATTAAATTGTTTTAACTGAAATTACTTGTAGAAAATATATTCAGGAAGAGCATGGGTAGCATAATCAAAACCCTTAGAGGACCATCTAAATTTCCATATCACAAAAAAACATGTTAGTGTCTAGACACAGCATTTGAACTCACACATCTATGAAAGAAGATCGTTTCTACAAATTCAGAAATTTGTCACAACATGGTAAAACAGCTCAATTCACAAACAAGGATATCTCCTCATCCTTCACAAGGTAAAGTCAATAAGCTTTAAGCTTCATGAAGTGATTAATGTTTGTATCTTTTTAACATACAGGGGTAGGAATAATAAATTCAACAAACTATTAGATGTGATACATGATAGCACCAAGGTGTATCATATGTGATAAAGGTTTATTAATAAACTAACAATTGTTGATAATAGATATATGATACAATAATGCAGCAGACCACAGCATTTTCATTAGGGTTTACAAAGACTAACGATCTTGAAAGGCTAATGAAGTTCTAGTAGAATAACAAGATCTGCACTGCTAATCAAAAGTAGCAAACAGTGCAATCAATTGCCTTAATTCTACCAGAATTCTTATTTTTCCCAATTACATTGAATTCATGAACATGGAAGCAAGCATGCTATTTCAACCTGGATCCCAGCCACACAGTTGACATGGGACGGATGATATGGTGGGGAGGAAGGGTGATGAACGATTATCACAGTAAACGGACAGGCGACTTTCTACTATGCCCCACAAAGCAGAACTTTTAGTGATCTTTACACAGACTTCTAATAACCTTCAGAGTCATGCTCCAGCACTACTCACACAAGAGACAGGGCACCCGCCCGTCTGGGCAGTGGCCCCAAACACAGGTGTTCTGAGTTTGGTCACTGAGCTACACAAACCATCGGTCCTACTTAAAAGATACACATTCAGGCTGGGCCTGAGGTCTGTACAAAACAGATCCGCCAGTTCTTGCACTTCACCTGTCCTGGAGGCTGTGACACAGCAGTTGTAGCCCAGGACTTCCCACTTGGTACACTGTAGGAGTAGCACTGAGGTTGCTCTTGCTCCAGGCCTTAAGAGAACTCATCTCCCTTGCTCATTCCTCTTCCCCATGCACACCCATTTCAGAGAAGTCCCCTAGGCAAAGCCTTTGTAAGTTCTGGTCGGAAAGCTGGGCTATCTTACCCTTAAAACATGCTCAAGAGTCTTCCAGACAAAAGTCAAATCTTGCTGAGGGCTCAAGTGAGGCACTCACAGAGAAGGTCATCTCTACCTGTGGCCATTGTACATGCTCGAGTATCAGCTGTAGCTAGCTGCCACAGATCCCGGTGGAAGGTGAGACGCAGTAGTGGTAGCACCTGTGACTTTTACCCTGTGATAAAACCCATACTGCTCTGTATTCCTTCCAACAGTTTTCCTGGCTACCTGTACAAGCTAACACAAGGATGCTTTCACATGTTTCAGCCCTAGCCACCCCATACAGTGGAGACGTACCCCTAAGGCAGAGGGAATCCCTCTGCACCCTAACTTGGCTCATCACTGTTTCCCCTTCTGCAGCCTCATACATACTTTCTATTTTTGCCCTCACGCTTCAATTTCATTTATTCATTTTTCACTTTGATTATGCTGAAGTTCCTTCCATATGGAATATAATGCTACATGACAGCATTTATTAGCATAGCATATTCTGTATTACAAACATTAAGGTGCATCAAAGGCTGGGAGTGATTAACATTTAATAGCTGCCCGAGATGATTATGAGATGGCTCTGTGGAGCTCATCTAACACAGTTCAGTACTCAGTGTCACTGACAGACCTTCTCTCAGCAGGAGCATCCTTGTCAGCGTGACAGGAGGCTAAGAATCCCCCAGGCATATGGAGGGACTGAGAGAGGGCAAATTCCTCCTTCAATTAGTGCCAATCACACCATGAAGCATACGGCTCATTACAGACAGCTTGATGGCTTCCCACATTCAGGTTTTTCATGCGTATTCTGGCATTACCTGCATAAAACATGAACAGACTAAGGGAGTATTTGGCTTTCTACATTACTAAAAATCGAAAAAAACCTGACAGCTCACGTGTATGCAACATCAGATTTCATTTGGCTCAATACAAATGTTGCAAGCATTTCAACAAAGTCTGAGTGACTTGCCTCATGGCCACAAAGAAACTCCAGTGTTAAGTATCTGCCTCCCAAAACTCTTCTTATACAGGACAAAGGCTTTCTTTAAATACAAAGCCAAAAATCAATAGTTCTGTACTGCACCTTACATACTTTGTCTAGCAAGTAAAACTTACTAACTTTTGGAGCAGTCCAAAATCAAAACATCTACCTTAACAGCACAGTGTCCATTACTCCAGTCAAGAAAACTAATATTACAAATCCAGAGTGGTTTTAGGAAGCTCTGTTTAAAAACAGCAGAACTGACAGAATTTCACTCTTTCCATAACATCTTAATTCATGAAAAAGAACAAGAAAAAAAAGTGTCCTTCCATTAATTTTCGATTTGTATAATACTTGCAGGCAAACACCATGTTCTTCCAAACACAAAGAACTTCAAAAAAAAAAAAAAACCCAAAAACTTTTTCCCCCCATTTGGCAAAAATGAATTACTGCTAAATGAAAGACCATCAAGTTTTCCTTTTCTGAACACAGCAAACTACCAATAAACAGGAAATAAGGCAGATTAACAGCTATTTTTCATCTGTTCATTAACTGAACAATGATCTGAGGAAATAATCAATTACATTAATATCCTTCATCCTCTGAATATCATCTAGTCCTTATCATTGTTCTTACCTGTCCATATTTATGGGGACTTGATGTGAAACAATTACATGAGTACGGGTTACAGGTTTCCCATTGTGTGGAGACTGTGTTGCATGCTGAAGTCCTACTGCGGGTTCCAAGGGAGATGCAGGACTTGCTATGACTACAGAGAGAAAACAAGTTTTTTTTTTAAAGCCAAAAAACAGTATCTACCTGCAAAGCAGGATTAAGTATTTCCATAAAAGTCAAGGCAAGCAACAGTTTTAAAGTAAAGGTAACTTCTCCCCTCTGCCCCCTCATTAGTCAAGTTTTGGGGGACACAGCCCACAGTTTCAGGTCTGAAGTAAAAAGCTTTAGCTTTGAATTCTGTGGCTTTCAAAGCCAAGAATGTTCAGTTTACAAGGATATACACAATTCCAATGTATTAAGCCAGTAGTCAAAACGGGCCAACATGGCCTGTCAATATCTGAGAGCGTTTTATGCTGGTACTTTTCAAGCAGCATGAGAGAACAAATAGGAGTATACTGGGACATCAACAATTTCATACTGGTATTCTCAGTGCCTGTGCTGATCACTGACTGTAACCCAAAAGGAAATGAAGAGGAGAAATCTCCATGCAAAAGTTGTTTCTTTGAAATAGCAGCAAACATCTACTACAATGCTGTTAAAGAGCAACATAAAATTAGGATGTCCCCGTGCCTCACATAAAGACCAGATGATAGATGTTATCAACCTGCCTCATGTTCTTTTAACCTGCAGCTACAGCCCTCCACATCTTATCTACAGTCATACTAATTAACATACTGTTCTTCCAACAGCAGCAACTGCACAGCACCTATGCAAGCACCTATCACAATAATCTCAAGGACAGTTTAGAATTCATAGGACTGGACATATTTTTCAAGGTTACCCAAAATCTCAGCTGAAAAGACCCTCCAGCTGCTCCCATTTTGCTGTGCGCTAAAAATTTGGGCTGAAGTCTTCTATACTGAAATGTCTGAAGCTGATTTTTGATACGCTTTTAGATGGACCGTATCAGCAATATAGGTTTTAACGCTTCTACACGTGGAATAAGAGGAAAAATATATAGTCTTTAATGTTTAAAAATAAGTCTGGTTCTTCTGCTTTGGAAAGGCAGAACTATCTCCAATTCTACGGCAGAAATCAAACAGATGGCAAAAGGTGAGGGATTTTTTTTTTCATTGTATGATTTGGCCAGCCCCATAAAAACGTTCAAGTTTTGCCAAATGGTAAAACTGAAAAAAGAAAAACCACAATTTGCACGTGTGCGAAGAAGCCTGCTGGAATTTAATGCAGAAAATCAGAACTGGCTGAAATACATCCATTAATTCACATCTTTAACTCAACAGAATACCTAGACAAAGCAAAGCAAAAGAGTAAAGCAGTCCTGAGGGTAGGGGCAGTTTTCCGTTTATCCTGTTTCTCAGGGTCTCTAGCCTTCCCTTGGGACTGGGGAAACAGAGGTACAAATTCCTCCTTTGCCTCAGGAGACTGCCTTCTTGTTTTCTACCTCTAGAGAGAAGGTGCTAGCCACAAGTTACGGACTCACACTGTTTCAAGGAACGGTTCATAGCACCATTATTCTTTTTCTTTTTAAAAGAAAATGTGTAAACAAGTAACTTCCAAACACATGTAATGAATTCTGTGTCAAAATTTCCTAGCAGCCCCTAATTATAGTATTCACCGTAAGCATCAAGAAAAAATTCAGCATAAGCAGCCAGTGCTGCTATGTGTGCTCCCTGGTACTCAATTCAAATAATGTATATAGAAGAGAGAGAAATAAAGATCAATACCTTTTAATATGTTATGTTATGATAGGCTAAGTCATTTTGACAGCTTGAGTTAAATATCTTTAAATCCCGCTCACTTTTACTTGATGATTCTTGAATATGAGCAAAGCTTCATATTGTCTCCTTTATTTTGAAGTAACAAGTTTTAGATAAATCTTTAGCTAAAATGACCAGAAGAGGATAGAGTAGAACAGAAGGAGAGACTAAGAAGGGAGGGAGACTCTACGCTTTTGTAGGAGCTGAACTTTGAAACAAAAGGAATGGAAATTAAGACTAAGCGAATGAGGCAGCAGGTGTGGAAGAGAAAAGTCAAAGGGGGAGGTTTAGAATTACAGTTTATTTTGATGACTGAGATGAGATAATCCTTTAAGAAAATGGAATAAATCTGTAACAGCCACAAGTCTAATACTATGCAAAAGAAACTGTGGAATTAATGATTAAGTTTGCCAAAGCTACTGTAGTTAACTTGTTTCTTTGCATTTCATAAATAATTAAGCTTGATGACTCCCTCATAAACAAAGTTTCTAAAACAGCCGACTCATTTAGTAATGGCTAACTACCTATATAGACATGCTAAATGAATGTATGTTTGCTAAGACTTCAGTTATATTCCTCCAGCAGTTTTCTTGACATTTATTGCAATTAGTGTGCTAGGTTTAAGAACTCTATCTCAAGTAATTGTGCTTAATAGGTACTTATTCGCCTGTTGTGCTTTGGGCACAGTTAAACACAATACCTGTTTCTCCAGTAATATTTGCCTTTGATACATGTCCATTTTGCTGGTCATTAGGTTTCTACAAAGGAAGCATAGTTTAAGTTAAAAATGGCACTAGAGAAAAGACATGAAACATGCCCAATATTTATACATATGTTGAGAAGTAGCACCGACCTTATCTACAGCTTCTACACGCCTAGTTCTCTTCATGATCTCTTCAAGCCTCTAGAAAGAAATTTTAAAGGGTAAAATGTTTGCTGAGATTTATTAAAAAAAAAAATCTCTCCCAAACCATAATTGCCAGTCATTTATCAAAGTTGCATCTGTTTACTGCAGAAAGGCAAATGATTTATTACTCTTCACAAGACTCTGTCCACTTTTGCATCAGCGATTCAGGTGAGGACTTTGCAGCTTTTCTTAAAGCACATTAACATCATGGATAACTTTCTGCAGCTAAGGTGGAAGCAAACTGCTAAGATGAAATCAATTACAGTTTCTCTTCATGTTTTGAGTTACCTTCTTCCTTTCTAAGCGCTCCTGCTCTTCTCTTTGGAAATGCTTTTCACGTTCTAACCGAATCCGCTCTGCCTCTTCCCGTAGGCGAGCTTCTTCTTCTTTCTGAGTTCATGGTAAAAGGGGAAGACAAGGAATGGTTTACTATTTGAGGACAGATTCACACTGGCATCTATCTATCTATACATATCTGCAGCATCCTGAAAAGACACTTTTGGGGTTTACAAGCCACCAACAAACTTTTCAGAATAAATCGCAGGTTTCTTAATTAATGTCCATTGTCATAATGACAAGTTAAGTAAAGATAAGTAACTAAAACACTAGCAATCTTATTTGGTTCCGTGTCTATTCTCTGGCATGTGCATGAAAGCATACCAGACGACAAAAGAGAATACATTTCCTAACCTTGAGCATTGCAACAGCAACCAGGAAAGTATTCACGAGATTCATGCACTGAGCTGGTGCACATTTTTCAGTGTCAAACAAAAACGGCAGAATGCCTTATTTAGCAGATAGAGTCATTGCTTAATCAGATCAAGGACAAACAGCTACAGGTACATAAAAATTCCTGCTTTTTTTAATTCAGTGTAAAACTTCATTGGAACACATTGCAGAAAAGCCTGGCTCCCTAAATAAGGCAGTGTTCTATTACAGACTACTAGAACAACTCATTAGTGAAGACTGTAACAAAGACTGAAAAACTCAGTCATACTATGGATGCACCCCAATTTAGCAGACCTTAGCAAAGGGAGAAGCATACATCATCTTGCAGCCCTGATTTTTTAAGCTATGTTCCCTTAAATCCTTCAAGCATTTATTTTCAGAGGCATACATCTAATTATATATCAGAAGAAAAAATAAATGTCTATAAAGCAGTTTGAAGTGCTGGAGCTCAGCTTGGGATGAGAGGGTGTGAAAGAGAGGGAAAGAAAGAAAGAGTCATCTCCACAATACTTACCACAGCCCCTCCTGAAGCTGGTAAGTTAACATTATGCCCACCGTACAAATACAAATGCGAGCACGCTGAAAAATTGGGTTATGATTCACTTGCTTTGTTTTCTGACTAGTTGCACTGATTTCAGCAAGACTGCACAAGGTGAAAGGTGTTCCCTGGCATGAGCAAAATTATCAAGACCTAACCTTACCTCCTAGCCCCACATAAGCAGCATCGGGCATGAGATTTGAGGGCACCAGGGTCATGTTTCCAACACATGGACTATTAAGTTATCTTGGCATCTAGACTTTCTGTAACTGTAGGGACAAATATTTCTCTGGTATACTACTATTCATTAAATTCTCCCAGTATAACTCTATTAATTTTGTATCACATTTTATCAGTAATAGGGAAGGATTTCTTCTAAGTAAGTTCTACAGGAGAAAAAACACACAAAAACAAAAAAAAAACAGGAAAAAACTCTCAAAACCGCACTCCAGTATATGTTTGTCTGGAAGAAGTATCTTTGTTGTTTGAATCACTCTATGAAATGAAGTCAACTACAACCCTATTCACTCTACATACCACTTTAAGTTTAGATAGCCCTCTAACCTATAAACATATCTAGATATTCCTCAGTGGTTATTCATTCACTTTACTGCCACCTAGACTGCTACAGAAATTCCAGGAGGGGAGCATACTTGTTTCTGAATGCGCTCCATCTCTTCTCTCTCCTTCTGTTCTCTCTCTTCTGCCTGTCGGCGTAGCCGTTCTTCTTTTTCCCGCTCCTCCTCTGCCTCCCTTTGTTTTCTTTCTGCTTCCTGTCTGCGAGCTTCTTCCTCTTCTCGGCGGGCTCTTTCTTCAGCTATCCTTTGGGACAATTCTTCTTTCTTTTGCCTGCAGGTGTGAAACATAATTAAAAAAAAGCGGATTACTGACCCAAGACACTAGCATTACCCAACAGCTAGATAAAGATTTCACTGGTGTTTCATTCATAAGAGCAACAAAATACCTGAACCAGGTCAAGCCAAATTAACTGCTCTGCTTCCAAAAGGAGACAAAGGTGAAGCTCCATGGAAAATACAGAAACCTTGGAAGTCAGTATTGGTATAGACTTGCACTGATGCGTGGCTCTTGCACTTTCTTAAGCTGAGACAGTATCATTGATTTTAATCCGTCTTGAAAGATCTTTTTTCTGTGATTTCAATTAATCATATTCTGAAGCAGCGTACACTTTTGATGTCCAAACTTACCTTGTGACAACAACTCTTGAATTTAAACAGTACCTACTTTTGTTGATTTTTTTGAAATTGTCACCTCCTAGTCTCATTAAACGTCCCCCATCCTTGTATTATGGGAGCGAATAACTTCTCCCTTTCATCTTTGATGTTACGCATACCACTACTGACTTTGTAGATTATCGTATCTACACTCAGGAGAGGGCAGATTGTCTTCCCAGCTGAAGAAGCCTCATCTGTTTAGTAGATTCTCATATACGAGCCACTTTATACATGTGATCATCCTTGACATCTTTCTCCATGTATTTTCCTAGTTCTACTGGTTTTACTGAAAATTCAACATTCAAAAAGTAGATTCACTATGGATAGTGCATAATGACATTTTTTTCTCCTTTTCTAATAATTCGTAACAGTTAATTTGCTTTTGTTGACCATGATCCAGCTGATACTCTAATTTGCTTACTACAGCTCCAAGCAAGATCCCTTCCTGAGTAATAACTAGCTTGGAGACCACCACCAAGTGAGTTAAGTTAGGATTAACTTCCTTATATTCGTTCCTTTACTTTAACAGGATTGGATTTTGTCCTTCCATTTTGTCTCAGTGACATAAGACAGTTCTGAAACGCTTTACAATTGACTTTTCTCTTTATTAACTCCGAACTTAAGATCGGCAGTAAATTTTGTTATCTCATTGGCAACCCCCCTTTTAATTTCATTTATGAAGGCACTGCACAGAGACTGAAAACTCCCTTCGTTATGAAAGCTGACTAATCTTAACCTTTTCCGTCTTTTAAGCCTTGCATTTATTCACCATATTCCTCCTATCCCACAGCAGCTTGTTTTCTTTAAAATCCTTTAGAGAACAACTGTATTTGGGAATCCAGACTACTATAACTGGCTCTGCCTTATTCCTATGCTTAACAAGTTAAAGAACTAACAGATGTGATAGGCATGAATTCCCTCTAACAAGGTGCCCAACTTACGACTGTGGCTGTAACACAGCACAAGTGGCCAGATGGGCTGCTCGTTTGCTGGTAGAAAAATGACCTCCAGCAGTCTTGGAAGTCTTGATTTTAAATGAGAATGTGGAAAGAGCTATAAATCACACCTGCTCAACATCTGAATACCATCCATGGTAGAGATCTTACGGTTCACGGAACAAAACATTGTCATAGTTGTAAAGATGAAAACAGCTAAGCAGGTGTAAAGTACAGCTCTGATCATCTCTGAGGAAACAGTGAACCGCTACACTAAAGATCTGCTCTCTCCTCCTGTCACTGTCTATTTTAAAGCATTAATAAAAAATGTTTATTAATACGAGACATATTTGGGATAGGATTTTAACCTTATGGATCTGCTTAGGTATATATTGCTTATACAAAAAATTCCATCAGGAAGCAATCCCTTTTTAGGGAACTTGTTTATCCTGCACTTCAGTACTATGGTTCAGATATCACAACATAACAAGAGAATATTCACAAGAAGCTGCTAGGACATATTTCGTCCACTGCAGAGGTCTAGGATCACCTTTCAAGCTCTTCTCTCTCCCTCCTTTCTTGCTCCTCCCGTTCCCGCTGCTCCCGGGCCAGGCGCCTCTTTTCAGTCAGCAGCCTTGTTGCTTCTTCAGGATCAGTTGTACCTGCAGAGGTCTTCGTGGGGGCTGGGAGTGGAGAAAGAGCTGGTGGAGCAGGAGGTGAGGATGGGGTGGCTGCTGAAATGCAGAGGAAGGAAAACCAGTTTGTACAGACACAACAGCAAAGATGACACCCTTTTCACATATGTATAATTAAACAAATCTCTTGAAAGGAAGAGAAAATACAATTTCAAATACTACGTAAAGTATTTTCAAGCTTATATGGTTTTTATAAATGACTCAGAGGAAGGAAAAATTGCTAGATGTTAGAAGTTCATATTCCTTAGGGGAATCTTATTTTTACGTGATAGGCAAAGCCACCTGCAGCTGAAAGGTTAAGCCAGCTTCTGATAATAAGTCCTGAAAGGTGTTCAATAGGAGTTATGCTGACTCAGCAAGTCCCACCACCACATTTTTTTTAGTTTGCCTGATACCATTTGCAGAGCAGAGACTACGAAAAGTTTGTGATACGGTATTCTCTTCCATCTGATTTTTGGTAATATCAGGCATCACCTGTCTGAAGGGATCTGCAAGAACAGTGAGGTACATCAAACCGTCATCAATTTTGCAGTTATTCCAACCTTTACCAAACAGGATTCTTACAGGTGGTTTCACCACGCACTGGGGCTGACCCACAACAAGGTAACTTGTGGGGATCAAGACACAGTTTCTTAACAAGAAGTTTTGCCGTTGTCAGTGAACTATGGCTTGCGTTCAAACGCTAATAGGCTTTGCCATCACTAATTCATTAAACATCTTCTCATGGAGGTACACACAGATTAGAAAAATAAGGCCATATAGTAACTTGGCCAAGTTTCTGGTCAGAAAGTGTCGAAGGGGATCCTAATAACCAAATCATTGTTTACCTCTTTTCTAGTCATCACATTTCCCTAGTCTGCATCTTATACTTGGAAAGTAGAGCCTGTAGACATATGCAGTTACCCCAGTGATATCCCTGATATTCCTTTAAAAGGAAACTTTCTCCTTTTTTTGTGATGCAGATAAAAAAGCTTATCAGAAAAGCAGTGAGAGCCCACACTGTAACACCAATTATCTCATTCTTTCTTTACATGCCCATGATCAACAGATGTGTCCATTTATTATTTGCATCCATACTGCAAGCTCTTTGTGGGATTGCACCTATTGTGGTAGGGCCTGGGTATCAGACTGGCACTACTGTAACAGAAGTTAGAACAGAAGATATCAATTCACATTAGGTGAACAATCCCCAGCTATGCATCCTGCAGTTAAATGCAGGATTATTAAAATTTAAAATCGTTTCTTGAAGGATGATCTTCCTCATCACAGGGGGATCTATGCTTTTTAAATTCAGAATCTTAAGTAACCCATCATGGGAATCCCAGTGGTCACAACAGCCATTCTATTCCATCCTTCAGGCAGACAATTTATCCTGTATTTATAATGGTCTAAAATGCCTGTAGAACAAACCCAAATTTTCAAACTGAAGATTTATTGGGCTGTGCATCTCCTCTTCTTTTTCCCCTTCCTACTCCCCAACATCATTATTTTTCTGTATATATATATTTTTTTCCAATTTGCTGCTTTTTAGTGTTTTTTCTTCACATTTTTTTCCTCTCTGAAAAATTCTGAGCATTCTTCTCTGCATTCCACTTCATCCTGTCAATCTCTCCCACGAGGCGGTACTTTTGCAATACTACAGATAAGCTGGAACAGTTTAATTTTATCAGCACCACCATAATGAGTGTCTATCAGAGCTAGACATTTTCACTGCTCGCACCACCCTTGCGTGATGATTTTCTGTATCGTTAATCTTCAGACCATTCCTGTTTTAATTCAGAGTCTGAAAAGAAGCTGTATCATCCTGCAAGGGAAAAAGTCTTGTCCAAAAGGGCAGGAAAGAGGGCTGCGAAACCACCCTGTGTGAGGCAGGTTTGCATGTTGCTCTGACTGTTAGAAACTGGGGAAGGCTTCAGCCTTGTTTACACTTCCCTCCCAATGAACACATATCTGAGACCAGAACAGTTGCCATTTTTGGTTGAGCTGCAAATTGCTTACAACTAACAACACGTACCATTTTCAGGAATGTTCTGAAGAATTTAAATTAACATTTGAGAGAAAACTATTGAAAGAAGTTACACTGTTTCAGAGAAAGGAAGGGAAAACCACGAAAGACTCTCAGGCATTCCTTAACTCAAAGGAGAATCTCTTCTTACCTTGAGCAAGCTCTGCCTGGACAGTGAGCTCTTCAGTGCCTGCCAAAGTTCCTTTACTTTCTTCTGTCTTCTCCTCACTGGCCTTTTCAGCTTCCTTTTCTGGTCCTTTCTTTTCGCTCTCTGGTTTGACCTCTTTTTTGACTGGTCGGATATTGCCAGGAGAGGGAGGACGTGCCTGCGCAGAGGAAGCTTTGGAGGAACCAGGTGGGGAGGTTATCTGCTTGGGTGTGCCAGGCAAAAAAGGCAAAGACTTTGATGCATGCCTGTGTAACCACAGAAAGAGTGCCAATCACTATCAGACATGCTGTACTGGACACCACCTATACATCACCTCTATACCTACTATAGCTAAAAATAAAACAAATTCTATGTTTCTCTGCGATCCAGCAGGACGGCTGAAGCCATGGATTAGCTTATATGCAGAATGCTTCCTCTTTGCAACTCTTCAGATGTGTGAGCATTGAACCCAGGCAAGAGGGGGAAAAAGCTAGGTACATTCCTCTTTCTTCTGCTTCCTTAAAACAGGAATAATAATTTTCTAAAAGCTGAACTGTTTTTTCTTTGTTGCAAAGAGAAAACATCCGCATCACCAAATATGTCTGCACTGATGTTTCCTGTGGAGACTAACATTTAACAACTAGAATGATCAGAGCTGGCTATAGCTCGACCTCCAGCTAAGCATGTACTTGGCTTACCAAACTGGAGAGGGAGCTGGTGATCTAGCTTTGGGGTTGGAAGAAAAATGACCTCCTTTAAAGCTGGCTGAGAAGTTGGATGACAAATGGTCTCTCTCCTTTTCTTTTTTGTCAGTCTATAGTTCAGCAAACAAAAAGACAAAGTCAAGCCAGAGTTCACACAGCTGAAGAAAGCAAAGCAAGCTCAGTTAAGGATGAGGGGCTGGGGGGCTGAGGAGTCTGAGAAAAAGTAGTGTCGAGTCAGTAGTTTCCAGTCTGTTTGACAAGTTCATTAATATAACTCCTGTAAAAAAAATGTGATGCTGTCTTTGTCAGTAAATACGCATTTGGCAGCAAGCATCCTTCTTAAATCATGCTCTCTGCTATCTTAAGAGGTTATGAGCTAATTTCCAGAGACTTAATTTTATATGGGTAAAAAAACCTACCTTTTAAGGTTGGCTCTTTGTTGCTTGCCACTCCCCACCCTCCACTGTTCCCAACTTGCTCCTCACAAACCCTGGACTTCATTTAACAAAAGAACCACTCCCTAGCCTGCAGCTTAATTGAGGTCCTCATACAGCATGAGCTTTTGGCTTTTATGCTTATATGCCAACACCACAGACGCCCTCAAAACCCCGATAATGTGGTACAATAGCTATTCTATTCCCTTTTCTCTTGACCAATTCCACAGCGCGAGCTTTTTCAGCGCTAATTCTTACATGAGGTGGTGATTTCTTCTTTTTCCTTCCCTATTTCTCATCTCAGCATGATTAACTATAAAATTGATATATATATGTGTGTGTGTGTGAGAAAATTTATATATGTGGGTATATGTACATATATAAACTTATACACACATGTATATGTATACATAAAACATAAAAAGATTTCTATTTTTAACTCTGAGCACATTTCCTATTGGAACACATCAAAAATTACTTCCCCCCCCCCTCTAAACACAGATGAAGAATTTCAAGTTTTTGGAATTACGAGCTCAGGCTCATGGAAACCTGAAGCATGGGAATACCGGAAAGCATGCTTCTTACATGGTCACCAAAATGTACCAATCTTTCTTCTTTTTTAATTAAAAAAAAAAAAAAGAAATGAGAAAGACCTGAAAGGTGCCAAACTGATAGCCCTGGAGACTGCGATGAACTACACGCATACCGTGAGATTTCTCCACAGATATATTGTAGTGCTGTGCCTTCACCTGAACTTGAAGAGACCATCTTCTGGCTGAAAGATTAAGCACTAGCTATGATTCATGCTACTTTCATCTAAAGTTGCTTCCAACAAGGATGTCGATAGCAGCATTGCCTCTTGGGATTTTGCCTATCAGGCAAAATAAAAACACCAGCGCTGCTTACATGACCTTCTGTCAAGGTGACCTTGCTCTTCTCATACTCTAAATGAGCCAAAAGTGTGGAGTACAAAGAAAAATGTAACTGCTTAGACACACCATATAATATTTGAATGGGAGCTGGCTGCATCTTGTTGGCTTGGAGCCCAGTCAGCATGAATTTGGTCTGCTTGTACCACACTGTGCCAATGTACCCTGAAAGTTCGGATCAGTCTCAGTACTGCTACCGAATCATTCAGAATGACTGGTAGGTCTGTGGGAAGCCTTGCTTACAAACCACGTTCCCAAATCACCTTGCTTTTCCCATGAGGAAAGGTTACCAGCTTGGTGTCCCAAAAAACTGAAGCCAAAAAGATGTGCTCTGTACTTATGTACATGGATACATGCGCATGTCTGCATGCATGTACTCCCCCCTGTCTCATGCTGTATCCCAAAGGCTCAGCTAAACTTGATAGAGGCCTCACAAGATATGAAATTCTACAGCGTTTGTAAAAAAAACAAACAAAACACACACACGCACACACACGCACGCGCACACACGCACAAACAAAACACACAAAAAAATCCCACAACACGCCATCAGCTAGGGGCTTAAAAGGCAGCAAAAAATCCACATGAGAAAGGGACCGCGCACACTCCCTGACTGCCGCTGTGCCTCATGGGAAACTAAGGTATCAATTCGGTAAACATGGGTGTTTTCCCAAGCAGATTCTTTGATGCCTCTTCAGACTTTGTCACCATCTACAGTAGAATATCGCAGGTAAAAGCCAACCAACCATGAGGCAAATCTTCAGAAAAAGAAGAGGTAAAAATCCCCCAAAACAAAAACAAACAAACTCCAGAAAACAACCAACCAAAAAACCCTTAGTCAAGCGTCCTTGCAATCACTCACGTTCTAATAAGCAGTTGGATCAGGTGGTTGCAGAACTAGCTCCCGTACAACCAGCATGCTTACCCCTGCAAGATGTGCTGTCCTCCTACGTCCAACAGCATCAGGAGTAGAGGCAAAAAGTTTTGCTCGGTCTGCAGGATTCCTACAGTTCATGGCCTTGTAGGACAGAGGGCTGATGGGGCTGCAAGATGCTGAACGGGGACAAATGGGGATAACTACGGTGTGGGGTTTTTTTATTTATTCATTTTAATTACAGAGCAGCATTGGAGGAGAAGTGACAAAGGAAAGCCAGCAGGGAACAGGAACAGAGAAAGACAGAAAAAGAAGGTATTAATACACAGAGGAATGACTAATTCTTATATCAGAACCATCATTTGATATGTTAGCTTGGCCACACAAGTAGTAATAATACAATTCTAACAGGCTGCACTCCTGTACTTTTACATTTGTAAGCAAATAATTTATCTTAAATAAATTAATAGGTATGCCACATAATAACCGGTAGTAGAAAGTGATGATGTTATTCTGTTAAAGGTTTGTTTTGTTTGGTTTTTATGTTTTTGTTTTTTTAAATACAACCTTTGGTTTTGAAAAAGCATTGGACACAAAATGACTGTTCTGACATTGATTAGCTTAATGCATTCACTGACATGAGATTCAATCATATTTGGAATAGAAAGTAATCAAACCAAAATTAGATTTCCTATTAATTGGTCTTGGAAGTGGGGGGAGGGGGGGAAATAAAGGAGATGCACACAAAGATCAAAACGCACTACATTTACAAACAGATAATAGCCTGGTCTTGGAAGTCAATGACATTTCTTTATATGAAACAGAGAAAGTCATATAGCTTGTTAAGCATAACCTGCAATTTCTTATCAAAGTCTGCTAAGAGTTCAGAAATAAAATGCACAGCAAATTTATATTTTTAGCCTATCTAGAATACATTGCTTTGCTCTGCCTTCCATCAAAGAGATTTTTAGTATGAAATACAATGATTTTTAATTTTTTCATAAAATATGTACATCCTATAAGATAGACCATTAGCACAAGAAAAGTTATGGATAGTCTAATATTTGAGTGCTGTCTACAAGTTTTAGCAAGTGATTTTTTTAAAAATCCCTCTTTCAGGAAATATATGAAGCCCTTAGATCGAAGAGCTTTTAGTATTCTTGATAATGCTGGAAGAACAGCAGACTTGAATATATTGTTGATAACAGACAACTATTTTACCCATTATAAGAAGTAGGCCAACAAGAATAAATCAATTTAGAAATGAATATTTGAATCAAAAACCAGGATGGCAGCTTTCTTTGGCTTTGCACAAGGATAAAGATTATTAGCAGAATATCTCATGCCAACAGCAAATTATCAGGTTTCTGATGTTCAGGTGATGCATTCAAAAAGAATTCTAACATTGCAAAATTCATCATGAAGAATTTTTTGCTGCAATCAAGTATTCGTGGCCTTTCTCCTAATTTAACTGAAAGAGGAGACTGGGGAAAATTATGTTATTACTGCACATCTTTTCCTATTAGTCTGTACCTTCTCTCCTGGTCATATAACATATAACATAGCCTTAGCATAATTATTCAGTATATTACCCACAGGAAGAGAGCACAGCTTTTATATGATAACTTTTTCTTATCAGGACAAAAAAAAAATCCTCATTTTCCTCAGGAAAAAAATTTCTTGTCCCTCTGATCCCCTCAAGCACACACGAAAGAACACAGTTCCACGTTCAGTTGTTCTTCCAGTCTAACAACAATACAACTGCTGCTACAGGAAGAGCTCAAACTTAACAGTATGAACTCTGCAAGTTCTCCTGCACTGAGGACTTAACAATACGAATAAAGAAAGCCTCATGTAAATGCTACAGCAAGGGTATTCATGCTTGCTTTACCACTTAAAGTGGTGTATGTTTAATGAGATATTAAAAAGTGACTTAAAAAAAAAAAACCCAAAAAACAAACAAAAAACCCCCAAACAAGATAACACAGCATCTCGCAATCTTTTTTGTTTGAGTGTCTTTAACCCAGACAGGAAGCAGTGGCATAATCTATATTTTAAACAGCTTACAATTTATGAGTTTTCCCTCCTCTGTGAATCAATCCTCTTGATACACGCTGATTATCTGAAGTTACCACAGAGGATGACATCATAAATATTAAAAGACAAGCAGTTCATTTTTATTTGCAATGTTTGCAAACAACGCTTTATGAAGCGCTCCCAGTGAATCAGGACGTACCAATGAGATTATATACGTTTAGAGAGTTATTTTAGAACACATTTTGGTTTTGGAGGGTTATTAAAAAAAAAAATCCAGTCTTATACTGGATGTCCATAACAGCTCACTTAACATACATTTTAAGGACATAAATCTGTATTTAATTTGACTTTGATTTTTGCACTGCAATTCATCTTTACAGCTGAAGGGCAGGGTAATTTCCTAGGGAATAATGACAGGCTAGGACGAGCTGAGTGCTCAGAGCACAGCTGTGAGCCATTACCACCACCTGATCATTAATCTCCAGGAAATGTCCTGCGTGAAGGGATGGCAGTTATTGCTCCTAGAGAATTAACCTGGAAAACAATGAGCAGATGGGATTATTCTTCTGGGTGGTACAGTTCCAGTTAGCACTGAGAAGGCATTACGAATTACTGCAAATCTGCTGATACATCAGTCATTCCAGCTACTTGCGATCTTTCCCAATATTGCACTCAGTTTACAGTTTACTGGTCAGCATATAACAATAGCAGCCCAGTAAAGTAACCACTTACAAAATTAAGACCTGGCTTTCTCCACTATCCCCCAATGAAGAGCTGCATTTCCAATTTCCTGTTTGGTAGATGACATTAAGTATTCATTTTACAAGCTGTTGCTTTAAAAGACATGAACCCTGAGAAGGGATTCGTACTTGTTAATTGCACTGTTTGCAGCGCATCATCCACGTTTTTGCTCCTGCGATGCTACCCCTGTGGAAATGCTGCTTGATTAGTGATAAGAGTTCTTAAGTGAAAGCTTCTTTAAAAGTAATCTTAGCAGATCTTCATTCCCTCTTACCATCTACATCCTTTAATTAAAATAAAGATCTGTCCATATGGGACATATGAAAGACCTGCCTAGACTTAAAGATTCAGTATATGTAGCAACATATTCCTGTAACAGTTTAAAAAAAAACTAAACAAACAAAACAAAAAAAAACCAAGCAAACAAAAAAAATCCCTCCCACCCACCCTATGATAAAAGGAAAGGCAACTACTGCTTGCCTGAAATACACAATAGCAGAGCATGGCCTAGTTGTCTTTGAAATACTGCGCTTAAAGAAGGGCTTTAAGTTACCACCTAGCAATATTTTCATATTTCTGCACGTTAATTCCCTTGCACATTTAAAATTATGTGCTATCCACCGCAACCAGGGGCCTATCATTCTAGAAATCCAGCAAGTTCCTTGTGGGAAGTGCCCTGGTACAGAACGAAACCTGCTTTCTTTGTACCAAGAGCAGCACACAGCATTAGCTGGGGACCTGCTGAATTAGCACCTCACAGCATTGTGGACATTTCCCTAAACACCCCTGGGCAGTGCAGTGCTGTCATCCTACATGTGCTGAATTTGTTTTTTGCACAGATGATGAGGCAAAAAGATAAATTAAGAGAAAGAGGTGCAGGTGGGGGGAGAAAGAGGTATAGCAAGCAGAAGCATACCAAAAGCTTTCATGCTGTTGCACAACATAATCCAGGTATTCAAGCTCCTTCTGGGATGCTGCTATACAGACACACAATTAGATCAGTAGATTTACAGCATCCCACAGGGAATCTGGAAAAATAAGTGGCTGAGACATTAGGCTTTTTTCTTTTCAGGCTTACCTGCATCTCCAGACAATGCAGCAGTGCTTTTACTTCGGGCCAGGAAGGAGTGAGTGGGCGTCAGGAGCCTGCTAACGATGCTGCTCTCCCATGGACTGAGCTGTAGGCGGCGAGCTGAATGTGTACCATACAAGCAAGAGGTTAGATCAGACACTCTCCATAAATGACCATATGCTATAGAAGTCTTGGTATTATCTCCTCACTACTACACACCATGAGAACCCTGAAATTGTCCTTCAGAGATTGAAAAAAAAAAAACAAACCACACACTCAATATTTTGCATTTTATTCTTACTCCATTTTACTTCAGGAATTCCCTTAGGAATATGCATATGTGAACGCTTGTGCTGCCGACTGTGACATTATGCTAAACTGCTATCAAATTAATAGATATTTTGCACACACCTGTTGTTTCCTACTATTAGGAATGGCAGGATAACTTCTAGAACTAGAAAACAGTTGCCATTCCTAGATACAGACTTTGACAGAGATGTTTGCATTCAAAAAATTTTCTGCATACTAGACAGATAATCTTACAGTGGAGGAAAAAAAGACAGTTACAAAAACACATTCAGAAGTCTGTAAGCCTAGAAAGAAAGAACAAAGACCTTAAAAACGAAATACAAGGCCAAAGCTCACTACTATGTGGAGAATTACATCAGAGAAAGAGGTTCTATCAAAGTTCCCAGGAGCGACAAAAAAGTGCATCTCAAAAGTATACAATACACCGTAACTGCAGATACCAAGCTCAGCAGTTACAGTTGCCTCAGATATTCATAATGACTCAGAACGCATAGTGGGTACTTTTGATCATCAATTCTCTGTCAAAAATCCTGCTTATGATAAATTTCAATTTAGAGTTGAAGAACACATTACACACATTGACCTGCTGCAATCACTCTCCCCTCTCACTTTTTTGCAAAGTTAGCTTGTAAATGTACTCCTTTTGCCTCTATCATATTAAAAATACTATTTAAACACTGATTATGGTGAAATAGTAGCCAAAAGTGACCTATAAATTACTGCTCAATTGAACTGGACATTTCTTTGATACTTGAATATATATAACAACACCAATTTTGTTATAATGAACACCCCAGAAGAAAACATTAAGCTGATTCCCATAATAGTTCATTACGGTAAGCTTAGATCATAGCAACAACCTTAACATTGCATGTGAAATGAGGTCTTTCACAGAACAGTTGAGGTTGCAAGTCACCCTTGGAGATCATCCAGTCCAAACCCCTGCTCAAGCAGGGTCACCTGCAGCAGGTTGTCCAGGACCTCATCCAAACTGCTTTTGAATATCTCCAAGGACAGAGACTCCACAACCTCTCTGGGCAACCTGTTCCAGAGCTCATCCACTCTCACATTAAAGAAGTTTTAGTGCTTTCTATGTCTCAGCATTCATTGGCCCTAGTTTTGTTTTTATGACAACAAAACTGCCACCTGAATTTATGAGGCTCAGTATCTAAAACGTTCAGTGAAGTGACTGGCTGAAAGAAACTAGAGATTAATCTGCATTTTTAAAGGTAGAGATACATCATTTTAATAGCCATAAACTCTATCTCTCTTCAATCTACTCCACGCTGGGCTCCATGAAAACAGGAACTGATCTCAATAATCTCATCCCGTAAGAATATAATTGCCTAATCTGCCCTCAGTGCTGGCTTTTTACTTCTCTAATTGCTCCCCTGAATTCTGCTAACTCGATAAGTGGCATCACTATAGGAAATATAGGACTCAAACACAGCAGGCCCTCTTGATAAGCATCCTTACTTAATGTACTACCACCAGAGCCCTTTACGATTAATGTTTTCATTCTGTGTCCATACAGATTATTTAGAGATACAAAATATCCCAAAGAGATTTCCATTACAGCACACTCCCTAATCATTAAGCTTATAATTTAACAATGAAGAAAAATCATAGAACAACCATTAAACTGGATGCAATAATGGTGGAATCTTGGCTTCCTCTCTTCTCTGGGAATTGTGCTCAGTACGATCTACTCTTTAGCTACTCTTGAAAGACAACATTTTTTTGTTGTCTCAGGCTTTACCAGATAAGGCTTACAGATATAGAAATGGTCAAGTCTGTACTGCAGTTTACTACAGTGACTACTGTAGTTTAATAAAAAGATCATGCAAGTTATCAGAAGAATAAGAATGCTGCACAAGAGTTGGATCCACACCTTAGAAATTTAGGGCCAATAAATCACTACCGTACATTAAAAATCTCTTGGAGGCCACCTGTATAGTTGTAGAGAGCTAGTGAATAAATGTCACAACATAATATTGTTCATTGAGCCAACTGTAGACCTCCCACATGAGGCCACGACCACAAGTAATTTCAGCAGGCCACAGCTGGGAAAATGCTGTCTTAAAACACTGAACTGCACTTGCTCACCTTTACAGCAAATGACATGGCATAGATACGGTTTAATTCTCTTTTGCCTTTGCCTCTAACATAGGGGAGCCTCATACGTATCACCTACTAGAGGCAAACTCATTCCCACAGCGTCCAACAAACAGCAGACAGGCAGTGTTTGGGACCAAGAGGGCTAGTTAACATGTGCCAACAGTGAGCTAAGAGAGACCAGCACAACCTCTATTCTCTATTTAAGCAACGTTCAAAACTGTTTTAGATAGGAGCTTAGACTGGAAGTATCGCTAACGCTCTAAAACGGGTTTAGATGAGAGTTTAACACCTAAATTCACCTTTGCTTTGTAGACCAAGTTCATCACTTACTAAATTCTCCAAAAGCCTAGCACCATATTTAACACTGTTAATATGTACTCTAACAGTTATTAGCATCACCATTAACCTCAAACAGCCAGATAAACTTTGGCCCACTGAGTTCCAAGTACAGCAGTATTAGTACCTAAATACTTCAAACAGGTTAACTTTGGCATCCAGTTCCCACTGAAGCAAGCTGAGTACACAACGTAAGCGTGTCCTAAAATAATAAGAGTGGCTTTAAAATAGTGAAGTTACTTTCTCTTTTTGCTCTTTCTGTTTTTAAAGCATTGGGGTGATGTTTTCAAGCTTTAGTCCTTCAAATCACCCAGAGAAAGGGAAAAGATCTTTTTTGTTCTCATGCTGTGTTAGGCTATCAGTCTTAGGGCAATTTGCTCCCCAATCCCACACTGAAGTGCATTCCTGGCAGAGTTTGTGGTGGAAGCACCCCTACCACCCAGCTACAAGCAGGTTAGTTTGAATAGATTAAAGAAGGTCTTTACTGCTTAACTTCTGACTAAAAAACAAAACAAAAACTCCAAAATAACAACTTAAAAACCCACAGTGACCTCCTCCCCCCACCCAACAAAATCAATCCCAGGGAGCTGGCAACAGTAAATTGACTACAATTATTTACGTTTGTCATCAAGATATACAAACTGAACACTGGAAAGTTGTCTTAGCAGCAGCAGCAGAATAAATTGTGAGTAAGCACACCACAGCATCTCTGGTTCATTCTATGAACAGATGGGAGGCAGGGATTTAACAGGTCTCCTGATGAGCACCACAAAGGACAGACTCACACTGACAATAGCAGTGCCTGCTCAGATAGAGCCACAAACACAGTGAGGGGGAGAAGTGGAAAACCATTCTAAGTTTAGATTTTCTTTCAAGAGGAAACAATATCAGAGGCCCTGAATTTCTTCTACAGAGGTAACAGACACAAAGGTGGTGCAGTAATTAAGACCATCGTTTGTTTGGAAAGAAAAGGAGTGGCGAGAGGAGGAGGAACACCACAATTGTGGTGCAAATTTTGCTTTTCAAAGCCAAGAAAGTGTGCATCTCCTACCTCATCTAAAATAACACACTTAACAAGTAAATTTTATTAGTCAACTGCAGTATTGCTTGCTTCCCTTGAACTGTTTGGTAATTACATTTTGTTACAAAGATTCAACAACTCACACCTGTACTGCTAACATAAATGTACAGCAAGAAGCCCATTTTAGCTGATTTTAAAATTGCAGTGAAGAGCTATACAATAAAACTGGACTTCAAAAGGAATTAACCAATTTCTCAGACAATTTTTTTATGAAAAGTTGTCTCTTCCGTAAAAACAACCTGTCCTTCAAATGGTAAAAAACAATGCTGCTTAACAGAAGACATGTTCTTGATGACAGCTGTAAGCCACTTAGGATAAGCTCATCATTCTTATCTTCAGCTCCCTGCCTTGTGGGTAGGAATGTGTGTTAAGGACAAAACGTGACTGGGTGCCCTTTGGAAGGTGAGAAAGCAAGCATACAGGCAGACTCTCTCTTTAAGCACTTGCCTTAAGACATTGAGGCCACTGGAGAGGCCAGCAACCTTTCTCCAATATGGGCTCAACTAGATTTGGGTATATGATGCTTTGTGCCCGAAAGAGGGCATTTGTAGAGTTTCAGTTTGTTTTCCGTCTTTGAGATCATGAAAAACATAAAATACTTCTGAAGAATTCTTTGCTGGTTTTGATGAAAATGGTAAGCATAGAATGCCTTTGCTTTAGGCATATGGTCCTCACTTCCTTCCTCCTTCCCTCCCCCCACCATTAAACTGCCTAGCACTCAGGGTAACTTGCTCAGAATTTGAAGTAGGCGGCAGAAATGATCACAGTGAGTTATAGTCCACAAAAGACTATCACTCATATTTAAGGTCTGCTGCTGTCCTCTTCCCCAAGATACTTCCTCAAACGACCATCCCTGGTGAAGAACAGCAACTGCTTGGAAAAAAAAAATACACACCTGAAAAGGTAATAAAATTAAAGCTGACTGGACTGCAATATTTATCACAAAAAATTGGTGCTTTGGAATAAATAATTTATAAGATAATGCTGTATTTTCCCCAAGTTATGACAGCCTCTACAACTAGATTAACCTGTAAGTGTTGAAATAATGCTTATCAAAACAATCAGAAACACACATACAAACATGCACACAAAGCATAGCACTTCAGTTAAGATGCACAAACAATGAAATTTATCAATTGGTTTCCCAGTACATCCAGAACTAACTGCATTCTAAGAATTCTTGAAAATAGGCATTTATCTGCCTTGAAATGGGCCAGTACTTCTCACCACTCTCTACAGAAAACAAAAAATTCTTAAGAGCATTTTTCCATAAAGCTCTTTGCACAGAGTTATAAAAGAGAAATTCTTTTATAAAATTCCTTCAAGCTCAAAATTCAATCTCATAAGTCCTTAAAATAAAAGCAACAATTCAACTACATTAATTTACAAAAGCCCAATTTTTTATCATTTGTGCAGACTTATGAACATTGAAAACATACACTGAAATAAAGCAACCCTTGAAAATTAACTGGACATAAAAAGTCAATAAACAGACATCATATGAAAAATACCCATATATCTTCATAAAAAAAAAAAAAGTGCAATGGCAACTGCTTGAAAGCTTTGTGCTACACGTTCTTAGACATTCAAGAACTACTAAAGTAGAAAGAAAAGCAAAAAAATGACAAAATGGTCTAACGCAAAAAAAAGGTCACAAATGACTGCATGCACTATGAAGAGATGTCTTCTTTCAATTGTTGTACCTCATTTACTAAAAACCTGACAGAAGCACTGCTTTTCCCATGTGCTAAAGCAAGATTGTTCAGGCAAGTTCTCTTGTTTTAAAAACAAGAAATATGTATTTCTTCTCAAAGAAAAAATGTTCAACCATTTACTTTTCACATTTGAAGTCTTTTCACTCCCATTTAGATAAAGTACAGAAAATGACTTCAGAAGCTTGTTTTACGTGCAAAGCAATACACCAATACAGAACATTCTTTCTTTCTCTTCCTTTTTTTTTTTTTTTTTAAACTGTACCTCTGTCTGGAGAATTTAGTAATGTTGCAGATGAGGAGGAGAGCCGCTTGTTAATGACTGGATCAACATGTTTCGAAAGGTTCATTGTTGAAACAGATCGCCTGTCTGGATCTAAAACAAATGGAGATAATGCTAATTGACAGCCCACATGCAGTAATGCAAGTTCCTAGCTCACTAGTGGGAAGGAGGAAAATATGACTAGGTCATTTCTGCTCTATCACAAGAACTTTCAAAATAGAAAGGACTTCTCGGCAGACATTGCACAGGCGACTCAAAGACTGGGCACAAAACCGTCCAATCTAAATTTCAAATATCCAAAATACTCTGTTCCTTGATTGTCATTCAATCAGGTTGCAATCCAAGGACCGAATGGTAGATCTGAAGTGGCTACTAGTAAACAAGAGAGTATTTCCATGTTCTTTTCAGTAGTATCGGAAAAATTTTGCTCACAACTCAAAACAGAAAGCTGCAGGGAAGGAACAACATGCTTGGAAACGTCATTCATAAAAAAACCCTTAGCACTCAAATCAAAGGCGACATTTGACAGGGCACTGTTGTCAAAGAGGTCAGTATCATGGCAATACACCGCTGAGAGATTAACGGAAGAAAAGGAAGGTTAGTACCTACGGGAAGCAACGTTCAGCACAAAAGGAATTCAGAGATTTAGTTAAAAGCCCCATAGTTCTGGACAGGAACCGAATTTCCCATTACAGAGTCATTTTCTACCTTCTGTGAGGGAAGGAGTAGCTAGTCAGTGCAAAACTGCACACAGCATAACAGATCAAGAAAACAAAGTCTTTGCGGAAGACTACAGACTATTTGTAATGCACATGCTTTGTATATAATCTTAAAGAGCTTTATTCTGCTTTTAGGCTCTGCAGTTTTTAGAACACAGTGTTACATTACATCATTTGCCTGCTCCACGTGCTGCGGAGTCAGCATCCACACCCTATTGAGGGTGATAGTTATTTCAAGAACACAGATCACACATACATGTGCGAGTGTGCGGTGTGAAAACTGTTAGCAGCAGATGAGAAATGAGCTGAACAGGCAAGTTATATGCATTCTCTTCTCTCTCTAAAAAAAAAAAAGCTGCAAAAGTTCAGTGCATCAATTAAATATCCTCCCCAGCAAATTTCTATTCAGAAGTCTGACACCCAGAAGACACTGAGAAAGTCAGTTCTGTTTTTGCTTACATTTTAGGATGGGCTGAACCTCAGGACTACTCAGCAAAGCATTTAAGCATGCTGAAACGCAGTGAGGCTTGAGCATACGCCTAAATGCTCTGCTGATTCATATTCTGTGCATCCCCAGGTAAGTCCACATACTGTTTTGTAAGCAGGCACAAACTCAGGAAGCTGCCAACATTAAGGAGGCTATTTCTGAAGGTTACTTGCCATTGTTTCTTCATGACAAGTACATCAACTTTATATTTACCTATTCTGACCTAGTGGATTAAAGCACGTTGGCTGCAGACAAAAACTGGTCTGCACAGAAATAAAGTGTGTGAAAAACGCCTTTACTCTCCTCAGATCTACGAAGAGGTACATAGGATTAACCATGATAGGGCAAGGGGAGGAAGGAAAGTGTGGAAATTCACACTGATGACAAGAACATCTCTAACACTAACAAATAGAGTACCAGCAGGGGGATAAACCTCAGAAACATGTTTAAGAGGAGACCCCAAAGTATTAAGGCTAAGAATAAGATGTCTGTAGGCAGGCAAGACTATCCTGCATTGATCTACAGGGGTATCTTGCAGCATCATGTGCTAGTCGGGACTGGAGACAGGATACTTGGGCTTCACATGGTGCCACAGGTCTGAGTCAGAACAGCGCTGGTAGGAATGGCATGGGGATTGTCAACACTGATATCTAACCTACGTCATCATACACCGTTACGGAGCGGAAAGAGCAGGAGCCCACGCAACAAATCATGCTTCTACATTTGGTGTAAAGGATACGCTGCATAAGCAGCTTTCAAAGATGATAAATGACACTACGAAAGTCACCTCTTATTTGGCATGCCAACATTTCTCCTGCATATGAACGTTATTTTTCAGTGAATGGAATTCAGCATGAGGATTTGTATGAGAATGTTGGCTGTGAACACAGAATATGCCAAACACCATTCACTGGCTAGAAGAGTGCTGGTTTCTTTGCTTTAAAAAAAAGAATAAATATATACTTGAGCAAAGTATCAGCACATGCAGCCGACTGCGCGTGCCTGCAGTCATGTGCAAAATAAATGTAAATGCCCTATATTTGTAGTATGTCAAAGCTTTAAAAAAAAAAATCAAATCAGATCTCCTTGAATTCCAATAGAGAGAATATTATACTTCATTTTAGTGAATTGTGCCAAATCTTTGAAGTCAGCCAGTAATAGCTCTCCATGTTAAAAATAAATAATAAAAATAATGAGGGACTAACAACAGTTCTAGTCTATCAGCATGATGTTAAGCATGCATTGCATCTACATGAGAGTGGTTTAGTTACTGATGATCTCATTTCCTGAGAACTAGCTATTGGTAAAGGAATCAACAAACCACAGTGATTATGTACCAGGTTTTCTAGCACCACCCAGAGATCTGAAGTGGTGCTCCAGGCCTGCTAAATCGAGAAAGGTGAATGATGATTCAAAAAAATAACCTAGGAACAGAATGCAAGACAATGATTTTTCACAGTAAAGAAAATAAAAATAAGTTATACAGAGTTAAGCAAATAATAAATATAACCTTGTATGAAAAATAACTGTTTATTGAACTTATAACAAAGTAGATGTCAGAAAATTCTTTTCTCATCCTTTTTTCTCCTTCGTGAAAGGCTGTATGCATTGAAATGTATATATTAAAGTAGGAAGAGAAGATTTCTTTACCGTTTTCTGGTAAAAGAAATAAAGGACAATTCATCTTCCTTTGGGTTACAGTCACCTTTTGCAAGGCATACACACACTAATGACTGACAGATTCTGTTAGAGAAGATAACTGGGGAAAAAAGCACGTAGCTAAAATTCACTTAATTTGTCCACCTTTAATTTCCGTTAGGGGGAAAAGGTTTCTGTGAATATCTGTGTAAGGTATTAAAGATAGCTTTTCACAGAAAAAAATTTTCTTCCTCCTGTCTGTTTTAATCTCAGTATTTATATTTGTTCATTTCCATCAGAGACTATTTCTTGAGCCATGATATTTAACATTTGCACACAGTAGCTTGTATCGGAGACCTGACATAGCAGACATAGCACAAGCATAACCACACATATAGACAAATACCAAAGCAGCAGAAGCGAGAAGCTGTAGCAAGACAGAATCACAGAATTAATCAACTCCTGAGACAAGTTTCAGGTTTGGCTCAGATTTCTCCTTCTTATCTGTTTGCTACCCAAGTACTTCAGAAACATGCTATTGCTAGCAACGGTAAGATCAAGAGCCAAGAATTTAAACCAACGTACACTGCATCATCCTTCCTTTTAACAGAAGCAAAGTACATTCCAGTTAACTGGCAGGGCAGGGAACCTGGCAAGCCAGCCAGGCTTCCCCCTTTACCTGTGTTATTAATGCTGCTATGTAGCGCTCCTCCCCAGGACCACCTGTTTTGCTTTTGTTTTGGCTTCTGGCTTCTTTCAATTGTGCGACGTACAACAGCTTCATGTCGTTCCTTAAGTGCAACAGGATAATAGGTTTGGATACTATTGGGTTTTTAAATGAACTTTCTCATCACACTCTGCTACCTTCCAGGCAAACAAAACCTAGCAGGCATCTTGGAATTGTGTTCAAGCTCGTAAGTGCTGTCTAGTAACACATCCACTCATGCTAATTTTAAAAAAGGACTTAAGCAGTAATTAAGCCATACATAAGTTCAGCTATTAACTAATTTTGAAAAGGTAAGATCTGTTTGAGACTTGTACAGAGCTGCAAAAAAGAACAGTGTCCCTGTTACGGTAGGCACTACACAGACACACAACAGGACTATTTCTCACTTGCATCTCCCACCTACTGAAGTGGCAGGTCAGTGGGAGAGAAAGGAGAAAAAAAAAAAAGGAACGAGCTGACTTACCCAGGATCATACAGCAAGTAGTTACCACGTCAGCTGAGATAGCCAAGAGTATATTCGATACACTTCCTCACTTTCTTCAAGGTTTTGTTAGAGAAGAGCTAGTAGTTAGCTCCCCTTACTGAATGGCTAGTAACCTGCAGTAGACCAGAAAGGAACCACCTGCTTTCTTTCTACACTTCTGTGCAAGTTTGAGCTGTGCCATACACTGTAACCCTGATCTGCTTAACTTAGCTGTATTAAATTTGTACAGGGCACTTTAAGAAGCATTTATGCAGGTAGAGCTTAAAATCCTCTCTTTTGCCCTCTCTTATGCTGATCATGACTTACATTACATCCCTGTTGGGAACTTTCAAATGAAAAGTTTGAAACTACCATATCTTACAGTAAAAGCTAGCTGACAAAGTTTTCAAGACATTTCTTCTTACCTTATCTTCTTCTATTCTCTGCCTTCGCTTTTCTTCTACAGCAGCTCGTCTTCTCTCTTCCTTTAATCTCTGCTCTTCTAGTTTCTTTTTGCGTTCTTCTAGGTGTTTTTCATAATGTTGCCGTGCTCTCTCTTCTCTTTCTAACCAGATAGATTCTCTTGCAGCTATGAGAAAAGTCAGAAGTAAAGCACAAACATGCTATGTTTGATGAAATTGTTAATAAAATTGGGATAACCAAGCTGTACTGAAAAACTTTTGAACTCATTTTCTTAAGATATACAGAAGATGCTAATCTCCATGTGTTCAAACTCCATGTCACACTAATTCATCTCCATCTCAATTTAATTACTGAAAATTACTACCAGAAATAGTCAAATTATCTGAGATTACAGTTTCTATGGGGAAGAAAGGCTTTTGTGTTATAATACCTAGATACTTCATTAGATAAATGCAAACACATTTCTGTTGTGCAGGCCATGATAATCACAATCATTTAATGTAAAAAGAAAAATAAATCCTCCTCTTTATCACCACTACATGCCTTTAATGATCAGTGCAGATCCCTAACATGACAGAAATGGCTGGGGTGACAACTCCAGGGCCTTGACTGTTAGCCGCACCATTAGTGGGCCAGAAGGAAACAAATTAGCCATCAAAGAAGTCAGACTGACGGTGAACTTTAATTTGTTGTGTAACTCCATTGCTGCAGAGCTCTGAACGTCATGTTTCAGAAAAGCTAACCAAATATACAAGACAAATTTTGCTCCCCTTCAGGGTCTGAATATTCATGAAGGTCCTACCTGGAATACAGGCTTAAACCCCAAAACTTGTTTTCTGGAAAAATCTATTAATTATTTCTAAAAAAAACAGGACACATATCTCAGGATCTTCAAGAACTGACACACAGGAGTGCAGGAAGAGGTCACGAGACAAATCTCACTGAGAACCACATGAGAAGACCTTACAGAGAAAGAGCTCAATGATAACACTGCATCAGCAACAAGGAACCAGGCTAGCACAGTTATCAGAAAAATTTCTAATTTCCAGGGCCAAGAAAGCAAGGGAGCTCTCTACCCAAGCTTGAGACAGTAATTTTTTAATTCAGCCTGAAGAAGAGCCTGTTGTTATAATCCCATATTCTAGAACAGCAACCAGGCCTTCAATTAGTAGAGATATTTGTGTCGTGAGACATAACCACATACCAAAAACAAACAAAAAACCCTAAATGCTTCTAGGTGTTCAAAGCAGACATCACAATTTTTGATCACTTATAATGCATCTTCACCAACTTCCTCTTCTGCATGTTCCTGCCTACTCAAACAAATCTCACATCACCTGATAAAGAGCTTAGATTTTACCCTAAACCTTGGGTATAGTCTCCCAAAAACTTTACCAAAGCACATCAGTTCATATTCAGACTATCTGCCTCAAGCAAACAGCTCTGTACCCTTTCAGATGTCAAATATTTTGCTGAGCAGATACCATGGTTAGCTTTGCCGTAGGATGCAAACTAGCAAAGAGAGGTTTGGCTCAAGAGACACAACCAATCAGAAAACATCCCCTTGGCAAGATGAGTGAAAGATCAGCAAGACGGTTGCAGGAAATTTAACAACGAAACATAGCTGGAACAATTACAGCTATAAGGAACACTGCAGTTGCTTAACTATTAACAATAAGTAGGAAAAAAGTAGCACCTGTAAATGTAAAATACTAACTGAAGAGCCAATAGAAAAGTTATAGAAGTATTTTGTTACATTGACTTAGCTAAATGACTTGAAGGAGGAAATAGAACCAAAAACGAAGCAGAAAAGCGGCTTCTAGACCAACCGAAACCTGCAGAAGTTCCTTCTTCTATGTTAAAGCCTTGTGACATAACCAAACGTTCTCAGCAAAAGCTGACCAAAAAAACACAGGAATTCTTTTAAGCTTGCATAGAGAAAAGTGTTTAATGGAAGCAAGTGTCACTTACATTCTTGAGGTGTGGGTTTTATCAGTTTTTCACCTAGGGTCGATTTCCATCTTAGTATAGGCCAATATGGAGCAGATTATCAGATTTTTATTATTATTCTTGAATTTTTCTAATAATTTTTCTTTTACCATACAGTTCTCACCACAGGACAGCACCTACCAAGCAAAAATACCTTTTTTGAAATCCCACCCCCCATCCCAACAGAAAAGAGATATGAATCACTACAGGGAAACATTTATCAACACTTGCCTTAAAATAACGCCCTTCAAATCACCCGACTAGAAAAAGTCATGTGCAAGGCTGCTACCTCCCTTTGGCCCAGGTGTTGACATGTGCTCAGGAAAGCCAAAGCCAATCACCTGTGTTGGGACAACTTGTAGTATGCTGTAGGAAACACACAGCCAAGTATAAGTCGTCACTGGAAGTTAAAGGCAGAAAAGCTTAATTAAGATAAAGAGCCAACTAATGGCCACCTACTTAAGGTGAGACCTCAAATATCCAGATAGCAGAAATGAACTAGAAATCAATGAGCCAAAAATGATGTTCCAAACATGAGGCTCATCTGTCAACCAAACGTGAAGATGCGTCCACTGCCCTTTCTTGGGAGTTGACAGCTCACCAAGAGAGCGGATAGACAAAGAGATGGCTCTGTCATTATGCTTTATCCTTCCTGGGACTACACAGTCCTTCATGATACTGCTTTTCTATTGCCAAAGGCCAGACAAGATTGAGCCAAGAAAATGAGTCAGGTAGTACGCCCCCCCTGTGCTGATGATGCCACTCCCAGGACTGAGTTCAGATGGATCAAGGAAAAAGCCTGGTTAAAACCAGATTCTTCTATTCCTCCTTTCTTGTGATGCTCTTAATTACAGCTGGGTCCTCGTGAAGAACAGTCAGCCTGGGCAGACGGGTAAGCACACTCGCTGCTGAAAGGGTGCACTGGTCTCTGAAATGACGGGAAACCTCACGTCAGAAAAGGGGCTACAGGCAGTGCCATTTACTCATGCTATTTAGATGAACCAGCACTCTGACACTTCGCCAAACTCAACACTTTGGCACTTGCCAAAGCAAGAAACACAGAAGCTGATTTACCCTTGTGACACCAAACTGATACAACCCCCTATTTCAGATTACGGAAGCCTCTACCGCAGCCTCTCAGTTGCCCCCTAACACCACAAGTATTAAGCTCAAAAGTCTTTCTCTCATCTTCACAGAACTCTGCGGTTCTGCTCTGGGCAACACCACGTTCCTGTTTCTCTGATAAGTCTTGCTCTTAGCTTAGAATATGTTTTCTCTAGAACATAATTCTCTCTCCTCCACCAACAGGATCAATTACTAAATACTGGACACCCCTCTGAAAGCAGATGTTTCACAAAAGGCACAGTGAGAGCAGCAAATCAAGCCTGTTACTCATCAGGACACACAAGGAAGAAGGAAAACGACTCTCAACACTTAAGTTTAAAGGCTTGTTAGGTAAAATACTGTACTGTATAAAACCAAATTTGAACAGAAATTAACTAATAATACACTGTGAGTAACATAATACTTTTAAAAATCATTCTCCCTATGTCAACACCATGTTTTACCCTCTCCTTTCTCATCAAATAATTGTTTATTAATTCCAGTCTGCAGTAACTGTTAAATGACATTTCTGGAGGATATGTCATCATTCACTCTCCTTTAAGTCATTCTTTACAATTACTTCCAGTGAAGCTTCTACAACTACTATTCCTTTTCAGATCAGTTTCCTATTTGAGCCTGTTGTTACATTTCATTTCTACAACCGAAATGTCTAGAGGGTTTGTTCCAGTTCTGAGGACACTACTGCACAAATTCATATAAAGGTAGAGTCTGTAATACTCTCTAGCTTTAAAGGCATTATTTAAAGGTACAATTTTACAGAGTGATTTTATTCTAACATGCACAAAGTATAAAAATTACTCCTCATTTCTGTTCTTTACTATTTTTAGATGTCAGAAAAATGGATCTTGGAAAAAAAATGAAAGAATCATTTCCTACCCTCGTCCTAAAAAGAGGTCTGGACTACATTAGTATTTACTGCTCACAAAATTTGCAAGGTTTGATCTTTATTGTTACAAGCATTAGCTTTCCCTAGCTACCCATTCTTGAGTGAAAACAGACTGTTCCCTTATGTAACGTCACATGTTTGCAATCTAAATTAGATCCACCTTCACATAGGAAATACTCCAATTAGACTCTTGCAGCATCCTCTCACCGTGGTGCTATAAAAATAACAACAACAAAAAACACAGCACACACACTCTGTTAGGTAGGCCCTGAATGCACTAAATAACCCAAACAATGCAGTTCCTCAGAACTGGAACTCAACCAAATCGTTTTTGTTTCAGGAGCTTTAAAACATCCATTCTCTTCAGAATAAGTTAAGGAATTCAGAAGCACAAATCTCATGAAAGTCCATCTAGCTGGAGCATGTTGGCTTTTATTCAATAATCATGTAAGTACAGACTCCCGTGACCGTATCAAAACAAGCTACCGCTGTGAGTTGAAACACATCCACAGATCCCAAGATCATGTGGATTTTTTGCGCCTGGCATCTGCTTACAATGGCAACCCAGCATGGAAAGGCTCTTTGGTTTGCTATTGAAAACAAAGCCCTTCCTAAAGGACATGAGGAATTAAGAAAAGCAAATCAAAAACTTCAAGTTATGTCACTGGAATATTAATTTGCCTATTAAAGATACGGGAATTATTCTTTCTTTTTGTCATTGATGTAAATAAGTAGATCTTCTAGGGACACTTTATTTATGGTGGTTTCTGTAGGCTTCAGCATTTCATGTTGCACAGAAAAAGTAATGAAAATAGTAATTTTAACTTTTCAAGACTTAAGCCATGCAAAGAGGCTGAAAACATTTTTCTACTTTGAAGAGAGTACAAGAGTTAGTATTCACATACAATCTCAGTGCTGGGCAGACAATCAGAATACAAAACCTTTTGAGAGTAACGCTAATCTTTGACTTTCTGCCCAAAGTGGAAAGGATTATAAAAAGCATCATACTTCTTGATAAGGAAAGACAGCTCAATAACAGAAACCCACATTAGTGATGGATTACCCAGACATATGAAAATGGTAAGCTGGAATAAAATAAGATATACTATAACAAAAGAGAGAGATTTAAAACTGATTTTAAATGCAAATATAAAACCTATATTTTA